CACACACATCAAGACACACACCAAGACACACATCAAGACACAACTGATAGCCAATAGAAGTCCAGATGAAGATCGATTTGAAATTTTAATTGACTCCTAAATAGAGTGAAAGATTACATTGCTTAAAGAGTATGGATGTATGCAGGAAGTGAACGACAGACCCCTTGCTTTTCCTTACCATTTCGCTATGATTCATTCGTTGAGCAAGAAAGACATTTTGAAACTTTTCTGTGCATTTTTACAAGCATTAAGTCCATTATACAAGATGTGTAAATAATACCAAATAAATTGATAAAATTTTATTTTCCTATTTTGAATTAAAATGAGTTTGTGGAACCAGATCAAAGCTTATTGCTTTGTGTTTCATTCGTAGTTCTGACTCCCCTTAGTTACAGTTACTATGTCCCACAAGCTTAACAAATTATCTAAAATATCTCATAATTTAAAACTTTGATTGCAGAAAATTGATTTAAAAAATTGTTTCAATTATAGTTGTCTGTCCTGTGTCTGTCCTCTTTAAAACAGATACTGTATGGTTGTTTGTAAGACAAGATTATAATTTAATTTGGAAAACTGCTGTAAAGGTCCCGTAATTGTCTAATTGGAAATTATGAATTGGGGTTCAAAGTACCTCAAAGCCATAAAAAGCACTTGGCCTATGGCCTCCTTCTTTCGTCTGCTTCTCAATGTTAATTGGAACCCTGATGAAACACTTGCACTCACTTTTGATCTACTAGTATAATTATATTCATCTTTGGTCTTTCCAGAAAATGGACATCGGATGATGACCAAAATAATAGTTAATTACCAACATGAAAAACAAGCATTTCTTCAACTTATTACTAACCCTAACGACTGTTTGCTCAAATTAACATATTTACTAAAATAGCATAAATACCATTTATGTATTAAGCATAGTATAACTAATATCTCTTGACAGACAAGTTCAAACCTTAAACCCTCCAGAGGAATAAAGCGAAGAAGTTCAGATCAAAAGGATATTTCCACTAAACAATTGAAAAAGGATAGTTTTCAGGAGGTTTGTAGAATATTATTTTTTAAATATTACAAATCTTAACAATTTTATTCATGACCTTCCAACTTTTGCCTCCTCACAGGAAGAAGAAAAAGAGCTTTATGATACAGAGGAGCTTCAGCCTCAATTACCACTTCCAGTAAAAAACTCTATAAAACTTACACTGAAGTAGTGTTGTTGGTATTATCATAGTGTTAGGGTAACCTTGGCTTGATTAGTATGGAGGGTCTGCTGCAAGAGTCAACAGATGTTAAGTAGAGTTGCATTTATTTTTGATGTTATATATAAGACATCAAGTTGTGTTGTTAATCACTGAGAGGTTATTTCACTAACTATTATAAGGTAATGCCAAAGAAAACAAGTCAACAACATGATATTTCTATTTATTACAAAAATGTCCTTGCATTCGTAGTTAACCTAGTATTAACAATTAATCATTATTAATAGAGATAACAAAATGCTATTTAGACTGCCCAAAAACTGTCTATCATATTAATTCTGACTCAGTAGCACTTCACACACACTCCTCGTTCTTGTATTGCATAATATAGTAATTGGTAATAGTAACTATTAGCACCCCAAGCCATGTGTTGACTGACTGTTGGTCAGCTGTTGGTCAGCAGACTACCAACAGTTAGTTGACAGCTAGTCGACAGGTCATCGCTATGTACCAMAGCTGGTTTGGGGCAATAATAGCTACTATTACCTATATAGTTCAAGTGGTTGTTTAAGTCAAGACATTTTTATACATCCTGTAAAGAAAAAGAGTTGACCATTGTTTTACTGTAAATTTCCAAAACAGCTAAGTAACCAAGTAACGTTTATTTAAAACCCAGAATGCTAATGCTAAATGTTCATGGTGAAAATATAGTTGATCCTTTGTAAACATGTAATTACTTCAAAACTAGACTAGACTAACATGGTCTCTCGTTTTCATTCTTCTCATTTACTAGTGTACAGACAATCTTCTGACCTTTAAAGTCAGTTTATCAAAAATAAAGTTTAATATCATCTCCAAAGGAGGAGATGCCATGGATCCAGCTAATTATCGCCCAATTTCAACTTTATCAGCTTTTACTCAAATTTTCGAAAAGCTCGTCTACAAACAGTTGATCAATTACATTGAAAAACACAATTTTTTATTCGAGTTTCAGTTTGGATTTCGAAAAGGCCACTC